CTAGTCTTTTTCTCAAATAGTTCTCGTACATAACTAGTCTGAAATCATTCGTAGTTGACAACTCACATCCTGACCGCTTAACCGGCGGCCGTCATTTTGCTTGTTACGTCTAGTCATTTTGAGAAAAAGACTAGTCATATAATAAAAGACTGATGCCCGGCTAAAAGCGATTGTTAATAAGAAAAAAAAAGAAGACTGTCGACGACACTGCACACAACGAATTGGAGTCTTATGTACAGGTCGAGCTCGAACTAGTCTACATGATAGAAATATAAGTAAGACGGTTTTATATTCGATCATCCACAGATTATGTCACTTATCAATCGCTTAAACGATTGAACGACACCGTCAAGTGATCAATTTTTAAATGTCAATAAACATTCTAAAATGCTATTTAGTATAAACATAAAATAGAAATACGACTATTGTAAAATCGTTTTTATTTTTTTCAAAAAATTGTTTCTCACCGTTAACGTCTAGGAAAATTATTTCATAATAAATTTAATTTAATTTAAAACTTTAAAAAAATTCCTTTTTTTCACGTCACAATTAAAGTTGATTTCAATTTTAAATTTTCGCAATTTAAATGACAAAAACAAACTGATGTTATATAATTTACATATTCTTAAATTTAACTTAAATCATTGTTGAGAAATAATCATACTTCTTTGTATTTTTATGTACATTTTTGAGCTTCAATATAATTTTGTACTTTTAGTATAAAAAAGTACAAATCTTTACGCGCCAGAGAAGTTCTCATTAAATCTTGTGATAGTAAACAAACAAAATTACAAAGTAATACATCAAATACGATGCTATATACCATACAAGGATTCATTAAACATGTTGAAGACATTTTTAGACTAATCAACTAGCTTTTGTTCTTCGACTATTTTCCATTACAAATCGAATGAACAAGCGCCGCTCTGCGATTTAGATTGTTTAAAATGGCATCTATATCGTAGTTTATCATCAGAGGGCACGTCAGATGTTGAATACTGTCGAATGAAATCTTCGAATCCACTGTTTATTTCTTTTTTCCTCACTGTTCTGTTCTGTTGGCTAATTTGGATGTAATGAATGAAAAAATGCCCTAGACATATGACGTACGTAAGTACATTTTAGACTAGTCTTGTTGGACGTGCTGACTTCTTGTTTCCTTACATGAGTCTGCACATTTCTTTGTTTTCTATATCCGTTATCGTAATCATTCAATTTGTGTATTATCATTCGTTTCTGGTTCTCTCTTTTATTATTGATTGTCAGTTTTCCCAATGATGGGATCAGCACAAATTGAACTTTTTAAAGACTAGGTTGGTCTTGGTCCCAAACAAAATTCTTTCTTGTTCACCACTTATTCAACATATTGATGAATCTTTGATCATTCTTAATGCGTCTTATTATGATTTCATCGTCGTTTACTCCCTATAGGCACCTAGTCATACGTCATAACGATGTGCAATATTTTGCTTTCGAATTTTGGAACTCGTACAATTTCATAAATCTAAAGTTACAATCATCCTTTATTTGTGAATTTTAATATTCACATGAAACACATAGTATCAATACATCTGCTGATCATAGAAATTGAACAAATCAATACAAGTGAATATAGAAAAAAAATATAAATACATAATAAAGATAACAGAAAAAACCTAGATTACAAAAACGAAGGATAGTAGTTACAAATCTGTATTCTAATTTACATATATTAACAACTATTTTATCATGACAAGACATTTCCATATGTTAGACAGAGAATTCCTAAAAAACTGAATCATACCATGTAAGTATAAATTCTAATGTTGTCTTCATGCTGTAATTACTTTTTGAACAGTCTGTTGCAAAACGATTGAACGAAAACATACCCTCACGGAGAATATTTATTTTTCTTATATAAAAATTATTCAGTGGATAACTGACAATGAATAAAACACGAAAATTACAAAAGAAAGAAAAGAAAACAATGCTCACAAAGGAACGAAAACTAGGAGTTTTCTAAATCTGTTAACTATGTAAATGGTTACACTCTTCTAAAGGTTCAAAATGGACTCAATTGCGAGCGGAAGATGTTGAATGTTTTGATGAATTAATAATACTATTTCGAAGGGCTTTTAATAATAATGCAGTTGCTGTAGGTATTGTTTCATCGAATAAATGTTTTTCAGATTTATCATCATCGTTGTTACCGAATCTAAATAATAAACAAAAAAAAGAAAAAGAATTTTTCGTAAAATTGATACATATTACAAAAAAACATACTTCAAATCGGAACGTCTTATAATTCCAACACCAACAAAACAAATATCAATAAAACTTGCAAAAATAAAAAATCGATTGAAAATTGATTACAGTTTTCTAAATATAGGCTGAATGTGGCGTTTTGTTTTTTATTCAAACCATAATAAGAAAATTTCTTACATCCTAATTTTGGTAATTCAAAATATCTATTGATTGTTAAATAAGCATAAATTTGTGTATATATTTAGCCTAAATACTAAAAAATAGTTCTCTAGAGCAAGAGGAAGAAAGAAAAAGGTACGTGCATATTTCACTGATTCATTCATCGTTTCATGGGTGCGTAATTGCATGACTCATTTACTCAACTAATCTGTCGAGTAATTATACAATATCAAATATATGAAAGTATACAAGTTTTTCTATTGATTTTGTTCAATGAAAAAAAAAAAAATGAGCCATCGTTGGTTGAGCCTTGTTATTATTTTCATCGGATTATGCAATTATTAGTGATTGTTCAGAAATTTGATTATCAGTATATAGCATATTTTTAACTTGTTGTCTGCAGTGTCAAGAAACAAATGATTTGATGAATTGTCAAGCCTTATGTTTTGCTGGTTTTATTTTACTTATGGAATAACACGATTAGAGTCTTGCAGAACAGAAATTAGGATATGAGTGTGACTGCGAACATATTATTCATGCAGTCTCTACATCCACGCCCAATTCCACATCCACACCAAAAATCAAGTTTATAATAAAGTATTCTATTGTTTTCAGCAAGTTGTCTTATAAAGAAGGATGACTCAAAAAAATGATAGTCTCCGATTAAATAAATAAAACAGTGAATATCAAAGAATTATTTCAGATGTAAGACGAATAATTTCCACAATGGTTTTCTCTACATTGAGATCGAGACCCGAATAACTAAGATCTCCGTGATCAGGATCGGGATAAAAAAAAACTTGATCCCTTACATGTCTAAGTTTGAAAGCATCAACGAAGAAGTAATTCGTAAATAAATGTTTCAGATTATCGTAATTTTCATAATCAGAGCAAAAAATATAAGATATTATTGTATAGATAATGTTGTAGACAAACTTGAGATTCAAGCAAATTTAAAATTTGCCTAGCCAGAATTGGAATTTTAATTTTGTCTAGACATTGCTTGGGCAGTATTGGAATTCCAATTTTTCTAGGCAAAATTAGAATGTGACTAGAGATAAATTTACATAATCAAAACAATTAAAACTGAATAGAATATTTTCTTTTGTTCAACAATATTTCTTCATTTAACTAAACAATTTACAAGACAAAACATTTTAATCTATTCACCCATATTTGTACAACCACCTTGTTTTGAATGATATTTTGTCGAACGAAAAGTTCCAATTTTTTTACACGATTATTATTTTGTAGCGCACTTGCCTTTACAATCTCAAGTTCTACCAGTCATTGATGAGGGTACATAAAGTTTACATGCTTCAATAAATGTAATATCCTTTAAATCAACAATAACAATTTGTTTTAGTTCTTTTAGACAAGCGATTTTTAAGTCAATAAGACGTTCAACGGAGTATGTATTTTTTAATTTGCCATATTGACAAATTTATTCAAAACGAAGTACAGTAAAACCTCTATTACTGAACAACCTGTTATACTGAACACCCTCCGGTCCCCCCCCAAGCGATTTTTGCTGATTTTGACTCCCTCCTTAGTGAACCCCTCACGATTCTGAATGTGAATGCTATTTTTCAGTCCCTACTGTGTAAAGTAACCTCTCTAATATGAACAGAAACATATGGCGCCACCTATCAACGAGATGTCCTTTCGCATTTGATTGGTTTGCTCTAATAGTCATGAAAGAGAAATGACTGTAGAAAGAGAAAGATATCCATTTTGCCTTTGTTTCAGTTCGTCAGATGTTTATTTTTGAATATGATATGTCATTTTGGACTTATTCTATGAGCAAAACTGAACTTGAAATCTGCAGAAGACCATAAAATATGGGAGGCTTTACGTCTCGAGTGGAAATAATCGCACGAAATTCTTTTAACTCCAATGAAGTCTGATGGAAAACCAATGCAGAAATGATATTTAAAATTCAACAGTGAAACTATTGCAAAACTCAACATTCTCACACCTTCGGACCAGCAAATGCCATTTCGTAAACCGCTAAAATAATTTTCTCATAATTGCAGGTGTAAATCCATACAACTCGCCAAAACTCATGAGGACTTAAGTTTAGGATTCTTCTCTCTGATGATTCTCACGCTGAAAGTCGATACATATAATTAAGATCGAATTAATTAGATTTAATTGTCGAAACAGAAGAAATCTTTATGGCAAGACTTACGCTTCTTCATGTTTGTATGAATCCCCCCAATATGATCACCACACTAATGCGAACGATTTTCTTTGGTCCCAACGGTGTTCACATAAGAGGGGTTTTACTGTAATTATTTTCTCTTTTTTCAGTTATACATACGTATTTACAGCGGAAAGAAACGACGAAGAAAAATAAATAATAAGGCAAAGCATCATTCTGTGCGCCGCTGAACCGCGTGCACTCTTTTTTCTTCTTCCTATTACTTCCTTGAGAGTGAGAAAAATTATGAATAAATAACTGCGTATTACAAGCGCGTCTTTGAATATTGATATCTACCATGGCTGGTGCAATCAATACTTCTTTGTTGTCTGACCGACCAGTTCTTATTGAAGAAAACTTGATCATCATGTGGCTCGATTTTAATATCAATAATATGCATGAATCTGTCTCTAAGTTGCATCGAACTGTGTTTCATCGTATTCAAACATTTAATGAACCTGATGCATGCGTCGAACTTTTGTCTGAAATTCAGCATCAACAAGTGTTTTTCATTGTATCAAATTCTCTTGGTCAAATAATCGTGCCAATCATTCATGATTTATCTCAAGTGCATGTTATATACGTATTTAATGAGATAAATACCGATCTCGAACAAACATGGACCAATAATTTGAGAAAAATCGAAGGAAGCTTTATGGAAATATCAACCCTTTGTGATTCAATAAAACAAAAAACTCAAGAATTTGAACAAAATTTAACATCAATCAGTATTATTCCTGAAACGTCAAGCACTCATTTGAATGAACTTGATCCATCGTTCATGTACTCACAATTGCTTAAAGAGATGATTCTCGAAATGGATCATGATGAACAATCGAAAGCACAATTTGTCCAATATTGCCATGATGCATATGCTGATAATACTACTCTATTACGTTTAATTGATGATTTTGATCACAACTATTATTCTCATTCGCCTATTTGGTGGTATACAAAAGAACCATTCATCTATTCAGTTCTCAATAGAGCATTGAGAACGCAAAATATTGAAATCGTACTGAAAATGAGTTTTTTCGTCCAAGCTCTTCATCGGCAAATTGAAAAATTATATTCAGAAACACGTGAAATGGTTACATCGATTGTCTATCGTGGTCAAGGTATGACAAATAGCGAATTTGAGAAAATAAAAAACAACCAAGGAGGTCTTCTTGCATTCAATAATTTTCTATCGACAAGTCGAGACGAACACATTTCTCTTACTTTTGCCGAAAGTTCATCGAATGATCCTGATTTAACAGGAGTTTTCTTTCACATCGACATTGATGCTTCCGTGACATCAACACCATTTGTATCATTAGACAACATAAGCTATTATACTGATTCGGAAAGGGAAATTCTTTTTTCCATGCATACAATATTTCGTATTGGTGAAATTCAACAAATCCACGATCAATTATGGCAAGTGAAGTTAACGTTGACAAATCAAGATGATGAACAACTGAAACTTCTGACCAATTATGTCCGTTATGAGACTCAGGGACCGATAGGTCACTATAGATTGGGTACGCTAATGATCAAGATGGGCGAGTTTGACAAAGCCGAATTGTTTTTTCAGTCTCTCATCGAAAAGACACCGGTCGAAAACTGGGAACTCCTAGCACATATTTACAATCAGCTCGGATATGTTCATCAAAGTAAAGGTAACCCGAAGGCTGCACTTGCTGATTTTCATAGAACACTCGAAATCAGGCAGAAATTTCTTCCATTAACTCATCCTGATTTGGCAAAAACCTATAATAATATTGCCATGGTGTATGATGGCATGGGAAATTATTCTACTGCATTAGAAAACTATCAAAATGCCCTCAAAATTCAACAACAATCTCTCCCATCGATACATGTGGATCTAGCTACAACCTATAATAACATCGGTTTGGTTCATCGATCTATGGAAAATCCTTCCGTTGCACTTCAATACTTTGAAAAAGTACTGGAGATTCAAAAACAAATGCTTCCGCCAACTCATCCTGATTTGGCTTCAACTTTTTGCAACATTGGTACTGTACATCATTTCATCGGTGCATATTCGACTGCTCTCACTTACTTTATCAAAACACTTGAAATTCAACAAAAAGCATTGCCAACGAATCATCCAAATTTGGCGATAGCCTATAATAACGTTGGAATGGTATATGATGAAATAGGAGATTCAATGCGTGCGCTTTCATACTATCAAAAGGGGCTTGATATAACAAAAAATATTCTTCCATTCAATCATCCTTATCTAGCTACGAGGTATAATAACGTTGCGACAATATATTATTCGATGAAAGATTATCAGACTGCAATCGCATATTTTGAAAAGACAGTTGGAATTCAAGAAAAAATTCTTCAATCGAATCATCCTGCTTTAGCAACGACTTATAATAATCTTGGTGACGTCCATGATGCAATGAAGAACCATTCAACTGCTCTTGTTTACTATCAAAAAGCACTGAAAATCGAGCAAAAAAGTCTTTCATCTATGCATCCTAGTTTAGCCATAACATTGAATAATATTGGTATGGTGTACGAGGCGACGAAAGATTTTTCGATCGCCCTTTCATACTACGAAGAAGCTCTGAAGATTCAGCAAAAAAGTCTTCCACCAAATCATCCTCAATTGGCAGATGTGTATAACAACATTGGCACACTAAAGCACTCTATGAACGAACATCCTACGGCACTATACTATTATCAAAAAGCATTGGAAATTCAGAGAAAAATTCTTCCATCCAATCATCCCGATCTAGCTTCGCTCTATACCAATATTGGTGTGACTCATCGATCAATGGGAGAACAACTATCAGCGTTTGATTACTTTGAAAAGGCACTAAAAATTCTACAAGTAACACTTCCGATCGATTATTCCTTGATGGCAACGACACATTTTACTATGGCACAAACGTACGAAGATCTATCTCAATACAAAGAAGCCGTCGAACATGCATTACGAGCCCTCAATGTGATAGATTACGTGCGAGAACCTAATCCTTCTCGAAAACAAAAATATCAAGATTTTCTCGAGAAACTCCGAGAAAAGTTTTGATCAAATCTTGATCTTGTTTTTTTTCGCAATTGTAGTGCTTCGACGAATCTGCTCATTATCAGACTATATTTGCCCAAGTAGACGAAACTATACAAAAACTTGATGCTCATTAAATAGAATATGTCGTTCGATCTAGACGAACGAAAAAATCTATGAGGGAAAAGTCAGAAAGCAGAAATCTAGAAAATATTCGGCGGATGTCAGTATTTGTATTGAACATACGGAACAGTAGACCATTTTTTCAATTCCACTTAGTTAAATTAAGCGTAGGAGAAGAAACTTACCGAGTAACGGAGAATTTTTCAGTTGATCAAGGATAGCCTAGTTTGCGAAAATAATAATAGTCTATAAAGTTTTATCAAAGAGTTTCGAGGTTGAATAATCTAAATTGCTAGACGACGTCTCTGTCTCATTTTGAACATTGAGAATAATTAATCAATCCGAATTTGACCAAATTAAATGTTTGAATTTCAAGTATTTGAACTAAAGAACATGCAAAAAAATTTGTATTTTCAAAAAAAAATGATTGCAAAAACAACAGTTTGAAAATCAATGATAATAATGAAAAAGTTCTATTCTATAAAGAAAAAATGTTAAAGTTAACAAAAATTGATCATTAATGACATTTATTAGGAAAAGAAATATTGTATACTAATTAGTAGGAGAATTTAATATAAGAACAAAATAATCTTTTAAATTCGAACTATTCGACACAGAACTGAAATCAGTAAGGAAAGGAGTTTTTCTAAAAACACAGAGCTGAATTTTTGTCAAGATATTCCATTTCTCTATGAAATTCTTCATCAATATTATTTTTAGTAATGAATGTTTTCTCAAAGTTTAATGAAATATCTTCGTCGTTGAAATAACTAATATTCAATAACAGATTAAAAATATCTTGTTCACGATTCCACAACTCATCACCATGGCTACATGATATAGTATTGATAAGTGAGATCCTTTGATGTATTTATGATAACAACACATCCTGAATTTGAGCCAGAGATTTCAAGACACATAAATAACTTTTAAATTTCCCATCAGACATGTTTTAATCTAACAGGTGAAAGAACTTTTCAATAGCGCTTCGATGAGAAACTTGTTTGATGTTACTTACATTCAACTTCTTAACACTTCCATAATTCTAACATCTTTCCAACATATTAATAAGTTCGATTGTAAGAATACCAAAATCGGAATAAAGATTTATTGATAGGAAACTGTCTCTTGGATTATTCATGCAAGGAAAACGAAGCTTTTTTTGAATTTCTTTTCACCAAAAGGACTTTTTTCAATAGCATTACGAAATTTGTTTCAATTTGTTTCTTTAATCTTCATTGCTATTATTACATAGTTAGGTGAAGGATCAGAAAGATAGTTTCTGTTATTTTGATTACACAGATAATTATATAAATTAATGACAAGCATATCGATGAGACCAGCAGAATGTTTCCTTAAGAGCTCAAAAAAATGCTGTTATACTTTCTTCAATTGAATTTCTCCTTATTTCGTATAACGTTTGATTTAATAATATGTTGTATGTAACTTTAGATATTATATTTGTTTCTAAATCAATTCAATGTTGTACCGAAATATGTATACGATTGTTCAATAAAAATTTGAAAAAAGTAGTTCTAATAGAAATAATCTCTGAAGACAATGCCTGAGAAAGAATAATAAGCACATTCTTTATCTTGTCTGAAATATTTCGATTCATTTCACATTTCTTTAATCTAATTAAACAATTACTGTTAGCTAATAAAAACAAATAGCTACAATATCTTCTCGATGTATAGCCAGTCGCCAAATCACTTTCTCCCAATTTTTAATTACATAATCTTGCAGAATAATACTCTCTTCCTCTCTTGAGAGAGGTAAGTACACGGAATTAAGACCATTAATAGTTGCCTTCTGAATTTGAGGAAATCGTTGATTATGAAGTAATGTGAAAATATAATAATATCTTTTTATCTGATCAAATATCGAATTTTCGATAATCCATTTAATAACAATGGAAATATATTCCTCTTTCGTAGTATTTTCAGTTTTAATTTTTTTATTGATAAACGCATGAAGATATTTTGCAAGATAACATTGTTCTAAATTGAGAATTAATTTTCAAATTTTTTTGCAATCAGTCCAGAGAGAAATCTTCGAAGAATAACGAACATTTTGTTGTAATATAACCAATATCTGACGAAGAATAATTGAATTGACACATTGAGACGTGAACAAAAGTTCTACAAGAGATACTAAACGAAACCAACTATTTGTAAGAAATATATCGTTGATAATATCGATCGAATCCGGATTATTAAAACCTTCAATAATCAATTATAATACGGCATATTGAGAAAATATTTTAAAATTTTTGTTTATTCAATAATTAAGCCATTTTTGAGTTACTGAAAGAGCTCTTTTTTCAATCAATGAACAGCGAAATACATTCAATCATTTTATGAATTTCTTGTTTTCTTAATATTTGCAAATAATTTGTGGTGCATGTTGCTGCTTAAAATGCCATTATCTTTTCTACTTTAAATGATTCATTCCATAGTTCTTCTAAATCTTTTAAAGGTGAAATATTATTCTTATGATTATTTGTAATATACATTTTTCGACTTTGAACATTGAAAGCTAATTCATTTAAATACATAATTGCTAGAAGAATAGAGTTTGATGAATCAAATGATGTTGTTTTAGTAAAATAGTGAAAGAATATTATTGAATTGAAATGAAGACGATCAGATAAGTTTATCCTTTGTTTTTCAAATTATGATAAATAACTTGAAAGATCTGAGTTACTGAGTTGTCTTTATGCAATGTATGTTGCTCCCGTTAGATCTTGACTTCGTTTGTCCATTGATATTCGACTGAATTTCTACCAATGTTATTTGCCATATATTCAAATGATAATGGAAACATATGACGTTTTGTATGATACCGAACAAATAAAAGAGTTGACGTCAGTAATGAAAAACTCCCTAGCATAGATTGAAGTAGAGAAACTATTTGCCATCGCAATTTGTCTCTTTGTTCTTCATTAAAGATTGATGAATCTTTCATGTTTAAAATTATATATAAAGCGATGATTCATAAAATTGGATTGTGTATATTAATTATTGTGAAATGCACATCGTTACTATCGACAATAGAAAGAGTGATGCCTTTTGTTAGTTGAGATGGGTGTGGGCTGGGAAAATACATAGCCTTACCCACACTCTCCATTATTATGCAAAGATCAAGTTCAAGTGCTGAAATAAGCACAAGCTACTACATCAATTTGACAAAAAATCGGGCGTGGGTGTGGATATTAGTCCTAGCTTCCTGCAGAGCCATAGCCACACCCACACCCATCCACACCCACATCCGCCCACACCCATCCACACCACACCCACCCACACCCACACCCACACCCACAAAAGAAGGCGCGCACGTACACCCATCCATACCCACATCCTTCAGCCGCACTCACACTCTCTTATGGTCTACTGTATGGAGAAATTGTATCGCTTGCAACAGTGAACTCTATGCACACTAACACGCAGATCCACCGTGACAACCACACACCCGGCAACACTCATACTAAGAAGCAACAGTACCCCTACCAATTCGCTCCACTCCACACACTCCCACAGCTACGATGCAGTCCTCACACCAAACATAATGTTCACGCTCATGCAGACATCGGCCTACTATTTTCAATTCTTCATTTTCCCTAAATCCGAGTATAAGTTTTGTCATGGATTTATAGGATCAAATGGTAAAAGCAGCGTTGGAAAAGGTTTTTGAAAAAATTAAAGTGCATCGCTTTTTTTGTTAAATGTTCATATTACTTGGTAAGCGACGGATTATCGAATTCGTGAGTAATGCAGTATTTTCAAAATCACTAGCGGCCTTTGCCTCCTTTGGCGGCCAGCGCACCTTGTGATATTTCCATTGCGGCTGTCGGCAGATCCACGGGTCTCAAAATGAGAGTTTTCATGCCCGATGCTAATGACAGATTGACAGGTTTCACTTGATCACCACAACATGGACAACACGGCAGACGTGAGCAGTTGCATGCAAAGAGGGCCGCATATAAAGCTGCAGGATTTTCGCCGCCTGGGTGGCTGGATGCTTGCGTTGCTTCAATGTCTTGCAAAAAGATGGCAGTATCCGTATGAACATCACAGCATATACTACGTTGCGTGCTTCGCACAATCAGTCGATTGTTTGTCAACACAGTAGTTGTCTTTGGCCCACGGCAGCCGATACAGCCTTCTTGACATTCGTAGAATTTTAGAACCGTTTCACCACTGATCACACCAAAAGTGTTTTCAAGATGTTGATTCCCTGGTTGTGTCGTAACAGGTTGAGCCCTGAAAGACAAATTTCAGCTCACTCGCACAAGGCAGCTATGGTAATGCTTACATTCGTGTTTGTTCGCAGTGGTTTGAAAATAATGCCTTTTGCCGTTAGTTAGTCAGATAAACTGTTTTGTAATGGTACTGCCTATTTTTAATACAAATAAAAATAATGGGCAGCTGTAAATAGATAAAAACAACGCACGGCCGAGGAATAGACAAGTACCATCAGAATGAAAGATTTTTTCTATGAGAGAACAATGCTAGAAGCTCAATGAAGTAAGATAATTCTGATGCTCAGTTTGATGAATACAACGGTTGAGTGTTAGATAGAGTTACTTCCTTATTTGTCGATATCTTTTTGGATCTGATTCTCGTTGAAAATTTTATTTGAAAAAACATTGTGCTTACGTTGTTCAAAATATTGACTTACATCTTGCTTGTACCATATAATGCAGTGTTGCAATCGGTAACGGCCGGTAGCCGGCTGGTCCTGTCTGGTCCGGTAGAGAATCCTTACCGGCAAGCATACCAACCGATAAACACGACCTTTTCTAGACCGCCTGGTCGAATTGTTTTTCAATTTTTTTTGCACTTTTTTTCGAAAAATTCATTTCAAACGTGCTTGGTTTTCCATATCAAATCACTTTTACT